GGAGAGAGGAAGTCAATATATCAGGAGCCCAAACTCCGATTCCGGAGCCAGACAGGCAAAGCAGACAGGTTCAGAAAGCCCAAAAGAACAACAGGGATCCCTGGAGGCGCTGGATGCCTGAGGTAACAAGCCCTACTCAGCTCTAGTGGGCAATTTTCCTGGGAGAATTTGGTACCTAGCTTTCAAATCCCATTTTCCAAGAGATAAGAAAGCTAAACTTGTACATAAATTTCTCATCATTAAATATTTCCAAGTAATTTTTTAAAACATATTTTACAAACAACACCTATCATCAGACCATGTTCAGGCTAAGGGTAACCATTTTGTAACCTCCAAACTACTCATAAATGAGTGAGTATAAAGTCCAACCCAGAGATACTGTATTAGAGAAATTATTTTCCAGTCTAGTCTGATCACAGTCTTTGGGCACGAGCCTATCAAAGGAAGCACCTCAGTGGGGAGAAGCCCAAAGACTAGGGCTCTTCCACAGTCTGAGGGCCTGACTGGGCACAGGCCCTGCCTGAGGGGAGGAGGTTCACTGGGAGGCTGGTTGCTGGAACTTAAGGGAAGCAGAAGCTCCTGGAGGTGTATGGAAACCAACCTGGTCATGGAAGAGGCCTGGACATGATGGGCTGGAGGTCTGTCTTTGTCACTGATTTCTCATATGACCTAAGATTCACACAGAACTGGTCAGTGAAACTTTGAAAGAGGCCTATTCTAACAGTCCTTAGCACGGGTTCTGTGTGTTTAAGATAGAATTCAGTGAACATACCATAAAATTAATAATAATAATAATAATAATATTAATAACAGGAGGTTTTTTTTATTCTGAGAGAGTCAAAAACCTTCATCCCATACTTAGAATAGTCCAGGACTCTAAAACATTGAGAACCATTTAGTCTGAGTCACCTTCTATTCCAATAGGGAATCTCTGGTGTAGAACCTGAGCAATTGATTATTCTATTTCAGATTTACCCCTAATGGTACAGATCCTCCACTTTGTGAGTCACTCATAGTTATAAAATCACCCTATCGGTTATGATAATTGTCTCCCCAACATCAGATGGGGAGGACAATAATCCTCCCACTTCCCAGCACACACACAAAATTGCACGGAAATATTTTATAAACATCTTAAAGTACTTTGTAAAGAGAAGTCATTCTAAGTGATTCTTAACACACATTGTAACAATTTCCATAGTGTTAAATCCCTAGACTAATTTTAATCTATATTGTCTAAACTAAACCTGACTTTAAAAAGATAAGCAAAAAAAAAACCTGACTTAGTAACTAGTACATCATTATTTTTAATAATGAAAATAATAATAACAAGCAACATTTGGCACTGAGGACTCTTAGCCTTCAGAAGAAACTGTCCAGAAATTCTGACAAATGTTAATCCTGTTTTCTTCTCTTGCCAGGGAGCTGGGCCAGCCTCCTCCCTTCACTGGGATCACTGGGCACCATCAAGAGAATGTCTGAGGGGTGGTAGGAAAGGATGTGCAAACCAACGCAGCCTCTCTTGAAATTTCTTCTGAGTACACTTTCAGTGGCCATAACCATGAGGCTGCAAAGAAGGAGAAAGGGGTGCTGGTATGGAGCAGGGAAACACTTCTCTGTGGGCTCCCCAAGAAAGTTGCCACTGCTGTTGACCAGTTAAATCAGTATTTCCCAGTTAAAACTCATGGTTCATGATGGTCACAACCAGTACAAGTTTGCACAGGAATATATGTGAGGCTGGAGTACATCTTGCATTAGTCAGAGTATTAGTTCATGAAGCTTTTGCCTATATTTATGTGTATGTTGTATTGTGTTTTCATTATAAGGTACTGATTTAGGGCCCTAATAGTCACAGGCACACTGTATCCCAGTGTCCTAATCCCACTGATGCTCATTTCCTTCTATCACTGATGTTATCACAGACAGACAATTACAGGATGATGAAAAAGCAAAATAAAACAAAATCTTGGCCATCAAAATTCAAATATTCCAGTATTACAGAATCCATCTGATATGAAAATTGATCCTACTGCCCCGATGGCAAGTAAATCATTTATTAATAAAGTCCAGTTCCAACTTAATGAAGTGGCTTTAACAGTTGATATTTCAATAATTACTTGGTACATTTTAATAAAGGTATTGGGGAGCAAGTGTTATTTTTGAATCAAAAAGATTATTTCAGACTTCTGCAAAAAAATAATTTCCCTGAGCTAGTAAGGAATAACAGGAAGAATCAGAATAATCTTATAAAAATGTTTCGTGCTTTGGAATAAGATACACCTTGACAGATAAACTAGACATTTTCAAATATACATCCTCTCTTCCAAAGATAAGTATTTCTTTTGCTTATTTATATTTTCATATGAGTTTTGCTTAGTATCATTCTTTTATTGGAGCAGCCTAGGAGGTACACAGGGAATCCTTGAGGACCAACAGAAAAGATGCAAAAGCCTCTACAGCTCCTTGGGAGGATTTGTAAAATATATGCACAGTTAGATGTGTGTGCATTTTCATTAAAGTAGATTTGATATAATGTGAGGAGATTTAAAGCAACTATTATTTTGTATTTGGAAATTAGTTTAAATTATACAAAAACGATATGGGTGTCACTCAGCTTTCCCACTGCTGGGGCCAAACACCCAACACCCACAGCTTAAGGAAGGAAAGGTTTCACTTAGCTCACATTTCAGGGTTTCAGTATGCGTCCTGCTGGCTTCACGGCAGAAGCTTCATGGCAGAACGGCAGAAGACGAAGACGGCAGAGGAGAGCTGCTTAGTTCATGGTGGCCACCAAGCAGGGAGGAGGCTGAGCACCAAAGAGGAGGCGGCCGGGCCCCAGTGCGGACACCAAGGCCACATCGCTGTGACCCGCCCAGAGACGCCAGCACTGGGCATTATTCCCTAGGCAGCTCTCAAGCCAGTCAAGTTGAAAATTAAGTTGAACTCTCACATCGTTTGAGTTTTCCCAGTTACACTTATGTGGAATTTTTTCCTCTTTGTTTTTTCTTTTCTTTTGGAGATTGGCCCTTTGATTTACATAGAAATGTTTCAATGGTTAGGTAATTGCTGTTTAACTCACCAGCTACAAACACAACAATAATTAAAGGCACTCTAAGAATTATAAGGAAATTGGCCACTTGCTGCTATGTTGTATAAATAGAGTATCTTATTTATATTGAACCATCTGCCTTGCTCCCAGCAGGATAAGGTGATATGTTTTGCCCAGCACACAAGAAAGATAACAATTCAGAATTGTTACGATGTTATTGGAGCCTTTTGCAAATAGCCGTTACTTTGGGGACTTTGTATAAGATACAAACTTACTTTGATGGATTCCTTTCATATTAGGATCAAGGTTTGAAAACAGAAAGCAGAGAAAGTCTGGCACAAAGAAACCAACCCCTGATTAGAGAAATGCCTAAATGTAATGTGCCTGCTCACCCTGCTCTCCACTATAGATGTTCAGCCTGTTCTTCCCGTCACTCCTCATGAGTGTGTCATAGTGTGTCTGTTCCCGGGGCCTGCCCATCTCAGCAGTATTTTGCAAGCCCAGATTTAGAATTTTTTGGTATCTGGATTTCAGCTTATCTGCATGACAGCAACAGACAGAGAAGGTTAGATGACAGCTGGTCACTTTCATCGTCAGTGGGACACAATACCTGACATCTACAACTTTAAAGGAGGAAAGGTTTCTTTTAGATCGCAGGTTTATAGAGGTTTGAGTACTTAGCCCGCTGGCTCTAAGGCAGGGCAACAGGGCACAGAGGCATGACAGAGGAAATACAGCTCACAGCATGGTGGCAGGAAGCAGAGAGAGAGACCAAGAGATAGAAGACCAGCAGGGACGGAGGGAGAGAAACCCTTCCAGGCCACACTCCCAGGGACCACCTCCACCTCCCACCAAGCTTCACCTCCCAAGTCATACCAAGCTATAAACTAATCCTCTCCTGAGCCTCATGCCCCATGATCCAGTCATAGGCTTTATGTGGTCCCCAAAGCCTCACCTATGAGCCCATGAGGCTTTAGGGAAACATCTAGGTATAAAGCACAACAGACAGCAATTTATTCTTTATTAAAATAAATTTGAAAGTATTGTGTAGGGTCTAAACTAAAGCACTCATCCCTTGGGACTGCTCAAACTTCATAAACTGATTTGTGAGCTTTGTGATCCTTTGGTGAGAGATGGCCAGATTCCTTGCTTCACTGGCCAGCTACTTTCTAAATAATTATTGCAATATTACATTGTAGTGCCTATGAGAGATACAGTTAAACTATTGCTTCCAACTTTTCTTTCTAAAGCCCTTCAAATGCAGTGGAAGATTTCACATATACAAAGCAGCCCCCATTGAAGTCATTTTCCTAGAATCTAGGGATATCTAGAAACTGTTATAAATATACACTATACAATGCATTAAGATTTGTGCTAGATGTGAGGTGCTAAGAACTGAGCCCAGGACCTTACGCACTCTAGGCAAGCCATCCCCCGCTGAGCTCTACTCCCAGGCCACCACTGAGATTTCTTAAGTTAATATTTAACGTCCCATAATTTGAATATTTTACTAAGTCATGCCAACCATCCCTAATTAGGCTACATGATGAGAATTTACTGTTTTTAATAGATTTGTTCTCCTTTGCTCTTTTGAGAGTCTTTCTCATTCTCCTCACTCACCTGTGTTTACATATTCAGGAGGTTTAGTGGGAAGTAATCTGAATATGTCAAGAGGATGTTTAGAAAGAAAAATGTTTTCCTATGGATATGTTTTAAACATTTCTGCACATATCTCAGATGCTGACACTTCCCTCTTTGGGAGTCTATCACAACTAGAGTAACAGAATGAACAGATCTCAAGACAAAGACTGGGCAGGAGAGAGCAGTCCAAGGCAGAAGGTCCCAGCCCCACACCCTGTCACAGGTCATGATAGCACTGCTTTGATAGCCCAGACTATGGTCTGGCCAGAGTGCCAAGGTCACACTCCAATGCCATCTCCTCTGGTTCCAGATAAGATTGAAGATGAGCTGGAGATGACCATGGTTTGCCACCGACCTGAGGGACTGGAGCAACTTGAGGCCCAGACCAACTTCACCAAGAGAGAGCTGCAAGTCCTTTATCGTGGCTTCAAAAATGTAAGACCCACATAGGCTCTCACACCTGACACTGGTGGAGTTTCCCACTGGGAGCAAACTCTCCCAAATGCAGAGGGAGTTCCTAAGGAAGCTTCCCATCTACATAGGGCTGGAAAGCCAGCCCTATAAAGGAGACTTGAGAGCAAGATTCCTTGGTGAGCAAGCAGGACTCCAGGTGAAGGATGAGAACATTTTGATGGACGAAAAACTAACCCACTAAACAGAACCTTCACAGGATGGTGCGACTTTAGAGAACTTGCCCTGGTGCAGGAGCCAGCCTGAACTTCACACATTCACACTTTCCATCAGCTTGGTACCTCCAAAATGGTAGGATTCATCTCTAGTGAATCACATAGTCTGATGTGTCAACCTGAACGATCAGTGTATTAGTTTACCATGAAAATAGAATAGAGACCAGACACTCCTCCTCTTGCTGGGACCTTCTGTTCCTGTACATTACACAGGAAGCCAAACTCTGAGGTGGATTTAGATGACTGGGAGTTAGTAGTCAGTGCTTCCTGCACATGAATACATCTCTGTCTTCTCAGGCCACTTTGTGAACCATCAGATGTTGAATTACTTTTAAGCTTAAATCTCATAACAGTGTATTCTACAACACTGGGGTAGGTGGGATAGAGAGAGGTGCTTCTGATTACTCCCCTCTAGTCACAGCTGTGTAGGTAGAGTTTGGCATATTCCAAACTGACCGTGGTCTCTGTCCCCCAAGGACCAGTCTGATCAGGCTTCATGCACATCCTGGAAGTTGTCTGACAAACTTTGAGATGTGCCTCCATTCTCCTGTGGCCTCAGCTGTGCCTTTCATGTGCCTGGCTTGCTACCATTAGGGCTTCCTTTCTTTCTCATCTTGAAGAGGCAGTGATGGCAGTGGACAGCAGGTGGGGAGGCTGCCCTTGGGAACTAGGCTGAGAGGCAGCAGCATCCAGGAGCGAGATCAGTGCAATATTGCTTGACATCTACTGTGAGCTTGGCACCACATAACAAAGATTCGTGTATGAAACCCCTGTTACCCATGCTGGGAAGGTTCTCTGGGCCCCACTTCTACAGGAAAGGATACTGAAGATCAGAAATGGACTGGGCTGAAGTCACAAAGCTTACAAGTAGCTTACTCCAGACCTTCTAATCTTAAATCCCAAACTCTTCCCAACTCAGTGTCCCTTCTCGATGACATCACACGACGTTGCTAAGCAGCTTTAGTCCTGTGGCGGGGTCACCTCCCAGGCACACCTTGGAGACAGAAGTACATGGGTTCTTGCCCACTCCCTACCCACCAAGGGTCGCAAGGAGCCCCACACCCAGGATTGGGCCCTGTGCACTCCCCCTGCTGCAAGCTCCAAGACATCTCCTACCACTGTCTTTCCCTTCCCACAGGAGTGCCCCAGCGGTGCAGTCAATGAAGAGACATTCAAGCAGATCTATGCCCAGTTTTTTCCTCATGGAGGTAAGTCAGACTCGGGGAAAGATGCAGCTCCTACTAGTGAGCAGCCTTCCCGTCCTCCAACCGTACTCTTCTTGTTATCTGCCAAGAGACCTCCCTTATAATAAGTTGTGAAATTCTCTAAAGCTTTAGCAAACTAGAGCTATGAAAATGGACCCACTTGGGAGGGGAAAAAGATTGATAAATGCAATATTACAAAGTCTCATAAAGGCTCTAGAAAGAGCATTATGATCCCAGAAGAAAGGGCTGAGCTTCAGAGACATTAAGCAACTTGTTCAAGATCACACAGCTGGTACAGGGCAGACTGAGATAGAGTCACTAAGTGTTCTGGGCAAAGCTCTGCCACTCTGGCTCTTCTGTTGTGACAGGCACTTGCCATTCTTTCCCTCAAAAGAGCATCAGACAAGCCGGAATGTTGAAAAGAATTTTAGCAAATACTCAAGACTACAAAAATAAATCCCAAAAGATGTAGGGAGCATGAAGTTGTGCTTATAAGGACATGCTAGCCAGTGGGCTGAGCCCACGGTACCTGCTCTGCTGCCTGCCTGACTCCTGTGGGAATCAGCTGTGGCCCAGGCACTGTGGACCACACCAATGACTTCTTCTGTGACCTCCAGGTTTTATAGGCCACCTTGTGTCCTGTCCCCAGGAACCCCCTGCTACCAAACTCTTTACCTGGATCCTAAAGTTCCAAGCATCCCAAGTATGTCTCAGGCCCTGTTTAGCATGGACCTCTTCAGCAGCTGACAGGTACATCCCTGGATACAGTTCCTGGTGCAGAGGCTCTGGTCATGTTAGGGGAAGCAGCTTCGTCTTGTGCAGGTACTACAATTACAGTTCACCGAGTTCTGCTGAGCCACACTTCATTCAATTTTCAGTATGTGGCAGGCATGACCCCAATAGACTTGTCCAAAAATCTCAAGACATGGGTCTTGCTGTGTCCCACCATGCAGAAATGGACAGGGGAGCTCCAAGAGGCTGCATCAGATGCCTATGGGCACAGAGCTGAGACCCAAGCTCAGGTCCTGAGAAAGTGCTCTTCTATGCTCCCGAGCTGCTTGCTGCTCAGAACACCTTCACACAGTCACCATGTCACACAACCACCAGAGCTCACACAAACAGACAGAGAGAGAGAGAGAGAGAGAGAGAGAGAGAGACAGACAGACAGACAGACAGACAGACAGACAGACAGACAGGGTATCCCTTCTCTCCAGATGGCTACACGCAGGGGTGAAGGCCCATCTCACCTCCCGCTAGAAACAACTTCCCATCTAACCCTGGGGGTTGAGTAACCTTGGGGGCCCTCCATAATTTCCTCCTTTCTCTCTCCCTCTCCTCTTTTGGCCAAAACACTGCCCCTGTTGTTAAGTCATCCCCTGACCCCATGAGCCTCAGCCACACTCACCTGTCCACCCTTCTGCCTTACAGATGCCAGCACCTATGCCCATTACCTCTTCAATGCCTTCGATACCACCCAGACAGGCTCCGTGAAGTTCGAGGTACGCCATCTCCTGGGTCTACGCTGGGAGTCCCCTGGTCCCACACTGCCTCTGCCTCTAAATTTCAGGGTCCTGGGGGAAGGCTGAATCCTCTTGGTCATGAGAAAAAGACTTTATCCATTTAATAAACATTTCCTGATGATAGAGAGAAGCAGCAACTTCCTCTGCCCTCCAAGCACTCGGGGACTCGAGGGACTAAATACGCACAGTTTAAGGGTTTGCTTGTACACTGCCTACCAGAAGGCAGCCTCTGGACATAGTAGTTTGCATTTATTAACTCATTTAATCTTCATAATAACCCTATAAGGTAGAGCTGCATTATTTATTACCATTTTACGGGAGAGGAAAGTAAGGCAAAGAGACCGAGTAACTTTCACAAGGTCAAAGAGCTGGTAAATGGTCAAGGCAGGCTTTGAATGCAGGCAGTGTGTTGGTGTAGCCACTAGAATATATGGCCATGCATATGACAAGCAAACCATTGCAGCCCTGGGATTAAGCAGGGACAGAGGAGGCTGTATTAACTGTGTCAGGCAGTGTCCACAGGCACAGAGCTCCATGCCTCTTCAAGAGGACATCTTCTCTTTAAAGCATAGGGCATGGAAGTCAGAAGCTCCCACTGAGCTTGGCCGTACCCTTTAGGCTGACAAGAGGAGTAGGAGAAGCCATTCTGCAAAAGCGCCTGTGAGGGCTGGCGAGATAACTCAGTGGTCTAAAGCGCCTGCTTAGGCAAGTACAGGAGACCGTGGCTAAATCGCTGGCACCACATGCTGTGCCAGCCCCGCCCTCAGGACAGGCTGAATGGGCTTAAAAAAAAAAAAAAAAGCACCTGTGAGCATGACACCAAGATAGATTCTCCCTACTCAGCAGCCTGGTGGCTAATGTCACTCCTGCCTTTTCTACCTCTTAGGATTTTGTAACTGCTCTGTCGACTTTACTGAGAGGAACCGTCCATGAGAAACTAAGGTGGACGTTCAATTTGTATGACATCAATAAAGATGGATACATAAACAAAGAGGTAGGTGAGCTGGGGCCAGAGGCATGAAACAGGTACAGTGAATTACAAAAGAAAACCCAAGTCAAGAGCATAAGTTGCACAAGTGAGACAGGATCCACTCTGGGGCTGTCAGAGGTGGTCTGAAGACCATCCTCCCCTGTGCTAGGTGCTCAGGCAAAGATCAGATTCAATGCATACTACACATGGGCTATACATGACTTCTCCCCCCTGAGAACCTGCCTTTTGTCAGGTTTACAACCATAAGTTAGAGCTCCAGGTGGGGTTGGTGGGTCTGCTGGCAGGCACCTATAAGAGAAGAGAGAGATTTTTCAGGAAGAGACTACAACTGGATGTCCTTGTCACAAACTGTTTTGTCTATTAGTAAAACTGGGTGAAGAAAGTACAGCTGTCTTTAAAGAAACCATCCCAAACCATTTCAGAATATGTGGTGCTTGGCATTTTTAGAGGTTCATACATGTGCTTAGCCTGTGAAATTCCGATAGACCTATCTTCATACTTACCATATTTGGGCATCTCATGTCCCTGTTGAAGTTTTAACTTAGCATCCTTGACATCCCACTTACTGAGATCCTATGTGCCAGGCACAGGGACTGGAAGTGTGAACATCATCTCTAGCCTTCACCTCATCCCTGCAAGCCTCTTCCTCACAGAGGGAAAGCTAACACAGCGAGCTTCCTCAGCTGTTCCTCATGCAGTCATCTGTGGACTCCACAGAGGTCTGAGGGCTGATTATGTTGTTCTCAGTGCTAGAGAAAAAGAGGTGAGCAGTCAGAGTGGGCCTGACTCTTATAGAGCAGTGCAGAGGGATACACAATACTGTAGATCAGCAGGTAAAAGATGTTTCAATAGAGATGCTCAAAAAGCCATCTGAAAGTGATGCCAAAGTAGAACCAACCATACAAAAAGTGAGGCAAAGTGTTGGCACAGTGACCAGAGAGACAGCAAAGCAAGATAGAGCTTTGTGTGTTCCAGAACAGAAAGGCTCACTGTAGGCGATAGACAGGAGTGTGAGAGTTAAACAATGGAGGATCAACTGCAGGGCACATATGTGCCCACTGGGAAGCTGCTACCTGGAAATAGTCTTTTTTAAAAAAAATATATGTAGTACAGGGTCTACAGGGTCTCACTACACAGATCGGACTCATAGTGAGCCTCCTGTTTTCAGCTTCCCAAGTGATGGGATTACAGGCATGCCACTACGCCCAGTCTCAGTCCTCAGCACAGTGCACCCCAGTGGTGGGGCCAGCACAGCATGCCAGGGATTGAACCACGGCCCCTGCTTTAGTCTGCTGAGCTATCTGGACAGCCTGGAAATAGTCTTTGATAGGCACTAAGTATTAAACTGACTACAAAGAGAATTTAAAAATTTGAATGGCTCTATATCATTTAGAGAAAGTTGATTCACAATTAACAGTCTTTCCTTATAGAAGTTTACATCCCTCAGATGGCTTCTTGGTAAGAAATCTACCAAAAAAAAAAACCAAAAAACATATTACAAAGAGCAAGTGAATTTAACAAAGTAACAGGATACAACATCTAGTTACATAAGACATTTGTATTTCTACATACAATGTGAAAGTTAAATAAAGTTCCACTTATCTTCATCAAAATACACAAAATATTTTGTGATAAATTTAACAAAATAGGTGTAACAAAATTCATACACTGAAAACTACAAAATGTTTAGTCCAGGCATGGTGGTATACACCTATAATCCCAGCTCTGGGGAGGCTGAAAAGAGGAGGATCACTACAAGTCTGAACTGCATAGTGTGACCCTGCACAAAATACACAAATCAAAAAAGAAATTTTCAAAGAGAACAGAGAGATTAAATAAACAGAGAGCTACATCATGCCTGTAGGTTGGAAGACCCAATATAATGAGAGACAGACTCTCCCAAGTTTGATTTCGAGACTCGCTGCAGTAGCAGCGAAAATTCAAGCAGTTATTTTGGAGAAACTGAGAAACTGACTTAAAAATATACATGTAAGAGAAAAAAATAAAACAACCAAAAAAATGGAGTAACATATTTCAAGACTATATAAAAATATAATAATCAAGATAGTGGAGAATTGGCATAAGGACTGACATATACCTAATACATGAAAATAAGTCTTGAAATAGACCCTCGCACATACTGTCATTTCAAAAAAGATACCAAGGGAAAATAACAATGGCTTCACTAAGTGGTGGTGTAACAAGGATGCAGTCTTTTCAGAATGAGAATGCATTTTTTTTTTTTTTTGGTAGAACCAGGATTAAACTCAGGCCCTTGTGCTTGCCAGGCAAGCGCTTGTTTTACTGAGCTATCTCCCCAGCCCATGGGAATGCATTTTAACCTTTACTTCATGTTAAACATAAAAATCAACTTGAGTTTATCCTTAATTATGGCTAAGTAGTATTCCACTGTATAAAAACCCCACATCTTTATCCATTCATTGGTTGATGGGCAGGCATTTAGGCTATTTCTAAGATTTAACTATTACAAAATATGCTGCTATAAATATGGGTGTGTATATATCATTGTGGTATAATGTTTTATAATTCTGTTAGGATGATACCAGGAAGAAGAATAACTGGGTCGATTGGAAACTCTACACCTGGTTTTTTTTTTAATTAATCTTATTGAGAAAGAAATAGCAATGAGACAGTTTCAAAACAGGTTAGTAGGACAGTTACAATAATTCATACATTGCATATTGTTGTCTTCATAGTAGTTATTTATAGTATAGGATGCAGACATGATATCCTGTCTAAACACTATTAGTACAAATCTTTCTTCTCATTGAATTAGGACAAAGTAGCTGTATCTCTATCCTAACTATTTTGTATATGCAGATACAAAATGGTCCTTCATTTACATCTCCTTTTTCTGTTTAGTTTTGTCAGAGATGGGTATTCCATTGCCATTTAAATATTGTAAGAGAGAGAGAGAGAGACCAGGGAGATGGCTCAGTAGAATAAGTGTTTCCCTGGCAAGTGCAAGGGCCTGAGTTCAGTCCCTGGTTCCGCCAAAACGTAAAATAAAATAAATAAATAAATAACTATTGTAGGTGCGTGAATTCAGCAAAACAATCCAATATAGTCTAGTAGTCCATAAAAGTAGTGGGTTTTCTGTAGGACTGGCAATGTCAGAAGTTGTTGACTTGAGCCTTTTACAGCTCAGCATATTAATATGGCTTTACTTTTTATATCTCATTTTCATACTTTTCTGATGGATGGTTAAGACCAAGATAAAGCAAGACCTATATAACAAGAAATGTAACTTCTGTAGCTGACAAGGTCAGTCAAATCCTCTGAAACCCTGTACCGCAGTTTGTAGATCCTTAGTCAGTGTCAGCCATGTGGATGAGTCACGGCCATTGCTTGACCAATTTGCTCTCTGTGAAAGCCTGAGAGAATGTTTTCTCTTCATGTGACTTTCCTTAGGCACACTCTACATTGTCAATTGCTTTTCTCTCTGGCCCCATAATCTCCTTGATCAGAAAATTTGGGATGCCACTGAGTTACAGAATGTCACAGTACAGGTTCTCTTATGTCCTGAGTCCACACTGACCTTTAATGGCTAGGGCCAAAATGTTGGCTGTCCTTGCAGCCCTTCTTTTTACTAATTTTTGGTCTGCAAACTTAGATTGTTAACCCTCCAGAAGAGACGCTTAATGATATTATTACCCTATAACATAGGCAGGTGAGCTTAACCTCACTATCTGTCTGAATATCAATCATCTTAGACATAACATGGAACAAGTATTTTCCATCAAGTATTGATATGTTAAACTTTAAATCCCTAAAGAATGTGAAGAAAAAATAAATAAAAAATATTTTAAAAATAGGAATAAACAATTATATATTTTTACACAGAAATTTAGAAATCTAATCATATACAGCACTGTAGCAGGACAGTCCTATGACTTTTTTTCTCTTCTCTTGTTTTCATTTATTATCCTTTTTTAAAAACATTTACTTGAGATACAGTATGGCAGTGATTGATATGACATTAGAAGTAGTACTTATTACACCTAGTTTTGGAGGACTGTCCACATTGATTTCCACAGTGGTTGCACTAGTCTACACTCCCACCCACACTGGAGGAGGGTTTCTTTTTCCCCAAATCCCCACCAGTGCCTGTTATTGATTGATTTCTTGATGGCAGCCATTCTTTCTGGAGTGCAAAGGAATCTCAGCATTGTACAGCATTGTTTTAATTTGTGTTTCTTGAATGACCAGTGATGTTGAACATTTTTTCATACATTTGCTTACTGTTTCTACTTCTTTATCTGAGAAGTGTCTATTAATTTCAGATGCCCATTTTTCAGTTGGGTCTTTAAATTTGGAGGATTAGATTTTCTTTTAGTTCTTTTAATATTCTAGATAGTTAAATATCCTAGTAGTCCTTTGTCTGAGGAATAGCTGGCAAAAATTTAGGCAAATGGATACACCTAGAGAAGGTACTCTTGTCAGACACACATGTGTAAATACTGCATCATTTCTGTCCTATGAGGAACTGAACATGTAGATAAGGATGAAAATGAATAACAAGTATCGTGAAATAGGAAGAAAATGTTCAAGTAGGAAGAGGAACCAGGGAGGGGGGAGGTAGAAATAGAGGAAGGAAAAAGAAAACAATGAGAAAGGGAGACGGAAAGGAAACAAAGCTTTTGTAAATAAGGAGAAGAGGGGTTGAAGGTAGTGTAAGGGGATGGAAAAGAAAGCAAGTTAAATCATGTGCAGGTGCACATTCCCTATTATGAGTGTGGTCATTATGGGTACCTAACGTGTACCAATACATGCATGCAGTTAAAAATGGGATAAGATAATAAAGTATAAAAAAATCAACTTGAAATATATACACATACATAAATATAAAAAACAAAAGCTGTCTTATTAAGGAATGTGCAACATAACCATCATAATTTTGGAGTAGGAAAGGATACCTTAAAGGACCCATAAAGAAGGAAAGTTAAAAGAAAAGCCAATAAATGTGACTTAATCAAATTTAA